AGCTGTTGGTGAACTACAAGTCCCATCATGCCTCTGCCTTTGGGAGTCATGCTTGTAACTGTCAGTTTTTCAATGCCTCATGGGACTTGTAGTTCTACAACAGCTGGAGGGCCACAGTTGCCCACCCCTGCCCTAAACACAGATCATACCTTACTCTCGGTATAGTCAACCCTGCTGCTCGTTTTTTTGATTGGATTAGCACCAGGCCCAGGCCCAGTTGGGATGGTCACTCCTGACTGGCCCCCCGTCCCTTTTTCTCTCTCTCTTCTGTCCCCGGGCAATTTCCCTTTCCAACTATTCTCTCTACTCCTGGAATTTCCCCCTCCACCTACACCCAACTTTACCCCTCTACCCCCGCACCACTTTTACATTCCTACTATAGTCATCAGAGCACACCCCACCCCCCTTCTTTTTTGCATTTTAATCAATAAGGAGCACACCCGCCGCCATATTTAGTGGCCTTACCTTGTTTTGCTCACGGAGCCCCAGGGGTTTAATACCTTCATGTTTTCATCTTTTCTACGGTCATCGTAACCCACTGATGTCTACGAGGCAAGCTTTACTGTCAATACCGAACTCTCGATGTGTTTCATGCTGGTCGCAGAAATTTCTAAAAACAACCCCAATCAATCTTTTGCGAAACAAAAACCATTACCATGTATAGACCGTTACTGAACAACCTTTATTAGTAAAATTCCAAAATATACCAATACTAGTGAGATGTACAAGATATGGATCAACCCCCAACGTAGCGGTAAAGGCTAAAGCTGGGCCATGCCAATACAGAAGACATTTTTGCAAACTCTACATATAGTAGCCAGAATTCAAAAACAAAAGAAAAACATCCATAAAAACGGTAAATATTAGTACTGGAAAGAAGTATAGATGATAATTACTGCCAGTTCTAACGTGACTGTCGCAATGATCTTGAATGATTTAATTAGAGCTAAAAGACCGCACTGGACTGGTTCAGGCGATTACTGATAGTTGTTAGGTGGTTCTGCGGGTAAGTGGTGGTGCTGTGGTTCTGCGGGTAAGTGGTGGTGCTGTGGTTCTGCGGGTAAGTGGTGGTGCTGTGGTTCTGCGGGTAAGTGGTGGTGCTGATCTTACTTACGAGGTTTGGGCTGCTACCTCACTGATACAACAGAGATACTGCTGCTTCAGTAGAACCAATGCTTGAATGAGAAGGAAGGAGCTCCCAGGTGTCTAAAATAATGGAACTCTTGAGAACGTATAGATTGAGCCAACATGTTTCGGAGGGAACTGCCCTTCATCAAGGCTGCCCAAAATAATGCAGCACTTGATGAAAGATTACAGTCATTCATTGAAAAGCCTGAGAACGTACAGATTGAGCCAACACATTTCGGGGGAATTGCGCCCTTTAAGTCTCCAAAATAATGCAACTCTTGGTGAGATTACAGTCGTTTAGTGAAAGCGTAAGAATGTACAGATTGAGCCAACACGTTTCAGGGGGATTGCCTTCCCCTTCTTCAGGGCTGTCCATAATAATGCAACTCTTGATGAGAGATTACAATCGTTTATTGAAAAGCCTGAGAGCGTATAGATTGAGCCACCACGTTTCGGGGGGGAACTGCCCCCTTCTTCAGGGCTGTCCAAAATAATACAACTCTTGGTGGGAGTGGTTTATTTAAAGCGTAAGAATGTACAGATTGAGCCAACACGTTTCGATGGAATTGCCTTCCTCTTCTTCATGGCTGCCCTGACAAAAGCCTGAGAACATAAAGATTGAGACAACATGTTTCGGAGGGAACAGTATCCCCCCCCCCCTTCTTCAGGTCTGTCAGAAATAATGCAGCTCTTGATGAGAGATTACAGTAGTTTATTGAAAAGCATGAGAACGTACAGATTGAGCCAACATGTTTCGGAGGGAACTGCACTCTTCTTCAGAGCTGACCAAAATAATGCAGCTCTTGGTGAGATTACAGTAGTTTATTGAAAAGCATGAGAATGTACAGATTGAGCCAACACATTTTGGGGGAATTGCTTTCACCTTCTTCAAGTCTGTCCAAGATAATGCAACTCTTGATGAGAGATTACAGTCGTTTATTGAAAAGTCTGGGAACGTACAGATTGAGCCAACACGTTTCAGAAGGAACTGTCCCCCCTTCTTCAGGGATGTCCAAAATAATGCAACTCTTGAGAAATTACAATTGTTCACTGAAAAGTCTAAGAATGTATAGATTGAGCCAACATGTTTCAGAGGGAACTGCCCCCTTCTTAAGAGCTGTCCAAAATAATACAACTCTTGGCTCAATCTGTAAATTTTTTAAGCTTTCAGTAAATAACTCTCACCAAGAGTTGTATTATTTTGGACAGCCCTGAAGAAGGGGGCAATTCCACCCGAAATGTGTTGGCTCAATCTGTACATTCTCAGGCTTTTCAATAAACTATTGGTATGTGCTAATGAAGATGGGTGGACTCCTGAAGAAGGGGAAGGCAATTCCCACGAAAACGTGTTGGCTCAATCTGTACATTCTCATGCTTTTCAATAAATGACTAATCTCTCATCATCAAGAGCTGCATTACTTTGGTCAGCCCTGAAGAAGAAGGGGGGGGGGGGGGCAGTTCCCTCCGAAACATGTTGGCTCAATCTGTACGTTCTCAGGGTTTTCTCAGGACAGCCCTGAAGAAGGGGAAGGCAATTCCCTCTAAACGTGTTGGCTCAATCTGTACCTTCTTACGCTTTCAAGAAACAACTATCACTAACACATTTCGGGGGAATTGCCTTCCCCTTCTTCAGGGCTGTCCTGAGAAAATACAGATTGAGCCAACATGTTTCGGAGGGAACTGTCCCCCCCCCCCTTCTTCAGGGCTGACCAAAATAATGCAGCTCTTGATGAGAGATTAGTCGTTTAGTGAAAGCATGAGAATGTACAGATAGAGCCAACACGTTTCGGGGGAATTGCCTTCCCCTTCTTCAGGGCTGTCCAAAATAATGCAACTCTTGAGAGATTACAATTGTTTATTGAAACGTCTGAGAACGTACGGATTGAACCAACATGTTTTGGAGGGAGCTGCCCCCCTTTCTTCAGGGCTGTCCAAAATAATAAAACTGTTGCTAGGAGATTACAATCATTTATTGAAAAGCGCGAGAATGTACAGACTGAGCCAACATGTTGTTACAGAGGAACTGCTTCCCCCTTCTTCAGGGCTGTTGGCACGTGCTCATGGAGATGGGTGGACTCCATGGTAGTACCAGATTCTCTGCGATGGCAAATGTTGGCTAGTAACATACAAAACCATGCAATACCGCCATCCATCTCCATTAGCGCATACCAACAGCCCTGAAGAAGGGGGAGGCAGTTTCCCTGAAACACGTTGGATCAATCTGTACGTTCTTACGCTTTCAATTAAAATGATTGTAATCTCCCACCAAGAGTTGCATTATTTTGCACAGCCCTGAAGGTGGAGGCAGTTCCCCTGAAATGCGTTGGATCAATCTGTACGTTCTCAAGCTTTCAATTAAACGATTGTAATCTCCCACCAAGAGTTGCATTATTTTGAACAGCCCTGCAGAAGGCAATTCCCCCAAAATGCGTTGGATCTGGACATTTTCAAGCTTTCAATTAAACGGTTGTAATCTTCCACCAAAAGTTGCATTATTTTAAACAGTCCTGAAGGAGGAGGAGGCAATTCCCCCAAAACACGTTAGATGAATCTGTACGTTTCTCAAGCTTTCAATTAAAACGATTGTAATCTTCCACCAAGAGTTGCATTATTTTGAACAGCCCTGAAGAAGGAGGAGGCAATTCCCCCGAAACACGTTGGAACAAGCTGTACATTCTCAAGCTTTCAATTAAATGTTTGTAATCTCCCACCAAGAGTTACAATATTTTGAACAGCCCTGAGGAAGGAGGCAATTCCCCAGAAACGCATTGGGTCAATCTGTACGTTCTCAAGCTTTCAATTAAATGATTGTAATCTTTCACCAAGAGTTACAGCCCTGAAGGAGGAGGCAGTTCCCCCGAAACACATTGGATCAATCTAAACATTCATCACGCTTTCACCCACCAAGTGTTGCTTTATTTTCGGCAACGGGTACGCCTTCTTTCTCACATATTTAAGGCAATCAATGAATGCAGTCACACCCAACAAAACACGTCCCATACCAGACATGCATCCTCCTCAATGAGGGTGTGGTATGGAGTATGGGGGGGGGGGGGGGGTCTGCATCGCATGATTTATAAAGTAAAGGAAGCCTGCAATGAAAGTCCATTCCCAGCATTTCTGAACTATTCTTTTTTTTTCCTTTGTAAATGTCACTTTTGTTATATTACTGATGGTAGAGATGCCCCACTTGACACAAAGGTTCAAAGGACCCCCTAAGCAACTTTTTTTTCCCCCAAAGGAATGTAACATTTTTAACGCAAAGCAACATGTTTAGAACTTTCATTGGTACGTGCCCCCTTTGGCAGTGCCCGGTCCACATGCACTTTTTTTGCCAATTCCTTAAAAATTGAGAACGTTGGCTTGGCTCCTGACTGACTTCATTGGGGTTTGGATTGAAGAGCCCAACTTTTGGTATGTTTGGCTGAACAGAAACCAGGTGTGTTCCGTAATCACGAGGGCGTCTTTTGAGGATCAGGGGAAAACAGGCTATGGCTACCCCCCCCCCCCCTCCTTCTCTCTCACCCTGATGTCCTCCATGGAAGCTTCTGCTGAAGGCCAGGGGAGATCAGACTACAATGCTAGAGGGACCCAACCAGCAGTGCCTCTCGCCTCCTTCTCTCTCACCATGAGGTCCTCCATGGAAGCTTCTGCTGAAGGTCAGGGGAGGTCAGACACAACGTTGAATTCTTTAGTGTTTCTTCCATGATAAAGATCAGAGGAGCGCTCAGCCACGTGTTTTCTGAGGTGTATATCAAGGTGTGCTTCTTCCAAGTGTGAGATCTCTGATGTACGGCAACATATCATCTATAGAAAAGACATTTCCCGCATTCAGGACACGAATACACCTAGGTGGTCGTGTGGGTTTTCAGATGTTGCGTAAGATAAGACTTCTGTGAAAAACATTTCCCGCACTTGGGGCAGGAAAATGGCTTTTCCCCCGTGTGAGATCTCTGATGTATAGCAAGGTCAGATTTCCGACCAAAACCTTTCCCGCACTCAGGGCAGGAATAAGGTTTCTCCCCTGTGTGAGATCTTTGATGTTTAACAAGGTCTGATTTCTGCTTATAACATTTCCCGCACTCTGGGCAGGCATACGGCTTCTCACCTGTGTGAGTTCTTTCGTGTATAACAAGGTCTAATTTCCGCGGAAAACATTTTTCTCGCACATAGGGCAGGAAAACGGCTTCTCGCCCGTGTGCAATATCTGATGTCTAGCAAAGTTGGCCTTCTGTGAAAAAGATTTGCCACAGTCAGGGCAGGAAAACGGTTTCTCCCCCGTGTGAGATCTTTGATGTACAACAAGGTTTGATTTTCGTGGGAAACACATTTCCCGCAATCAGGGCAGGAATACGGCTTCTCGCCCCTGTGCAATCTCTGATGGCTAGAAAGATGGGCCCTCTGTGTAAAACGTTTCCCGCACTCAGGGCAAGAATACGGCTTCTCCCCCGTGTGGGTTCTGTGATGTATAAGAAGTTCCGATTTCCATACAAAACATTTCCCACACTCGGGGCAGGAATATGGCTTCTCGCCCATGTGCAGTTTCTGGTGTGCTGAAAGATAGGACTTCTGAGAAAAACGTTTCCCGCACTCGGTGCAGAAAAATGGCTTCTGCTCGGTGTGAGATTTGTAGTGCATAACAAGCTCTGATTTACACAGAAAACCTCTCCCGCACTCAGAACAGAAATTAGACTTCTCGCTGTCGTGAAAGCTCCGATATATAGAAAGAATTAGATCGGGGGTAAAATTTTTCCCACACTCAGGACAGGAAAATTTCTTCTGCTCCTGAATTCTGGCAGCATCCCTCACAGTACGAGGTTGCTCGGAGTCAGAGGGATTCAATGGTCTTTCCGCACTGTGAAGCCCACCAGACCTCTTCTCTGCTGCACAATCTCGTGTGATGTCCTCATCTTCCATTTTCCACAAAGTAGGACGATCCTTTGAGGGTTTCTCCATGGCGGGTCCTGGAAAAATTAAAAAACATCATCAATAGATAGGAGAGGGTTAGTTCACTTCCATCAAGATTCCATCTGGATCAGGGAGATAGGATGTTCTCTGTGGATGTCCCAACCAACTGGGACTCCTCCCCTCTTCAGTCAAAAGGTACTTTGGTCCTGCCAGATCACTTCTACATTTACACCGCCTTGTAAGAGGAGCAGGAACCAATGGGGGCTGGCATGCTCTTCACACAACCACAAGCCTAGGCACTGGATCATGTGACCTCTGATAGACAAGAAGATGCAAGTTAAGACTTGAAGAACATCACCTGTGCTGATCTCTGTAGGAGTGTCCTCCTCTTTGAATGTCCTCCTCAATCCTCATGACAGCCTTGTCAGAGGAGAAGGAACCAATGGGGGCTGGGAGGGGGTATTCTCTTTACACAACCACAAGTCTAGGCACTGGGTCATGTGATCTCTGATAGACATGAAGTATAGGAACCAATGGGGGTTGGGGGAGGGGCTGTAACAGAGCAGAGATAAGAGAAGAATATATTCTGGTCACCTGTGCTGATCTCTGTAGGAGTGTCCTCCTCTATGAATGTCCTCCTCATTCCAGCCTCCTCCGTATATTGCTGATCATCCCTCACATACGTCTCTTCTACTTCACCCTCAACTTTCATGTTCATCAGATCTTCACCCTAAACCAACAGGAACCAATGGGGGCTGGGAGGGGCATGCTCTTTACACAACAAGCCTAGGCACTGGGTCATGTGATCTCTGATAGAGAAGAATGTCATGGACGGGGTTCCGTGGGTACAGGGGCGAGGGAGTCCTACAAGCTAGAATCCTGGTGTTAACCACCTTGTTTATGTAAATCACACCATCCATATCTCATGTTCCTCAATTTTGATAAGCTATGGAAAAGATGTGGGCTGGACTCTAACCCTTGGCCAATCAACCCTGAATGTTTTCCATCCTCAGCCCTGAAGATGAAACCTGCCTTCTGAAGAGGCCTGGGTTGAATGGTTCATGAACGGTCCTGATGGCTGGGTCGGGGATAGGATTTCCGACACCAATGCATCATTCTGATCGCCTAATGGCTGTCCCAAGCAGGCTCCATGCAGCATTTTCGTGGATCTCCCAAGGGTTCTCTATGCCCAACCCACAACATTTTAGATCGGCACGTATCCAAAAATGTGTATCTTGAGAAGGAATTATTTTCATCTCTCTGCAACTAATATTTTAGATTTTATGAAAACTTGCTCTAAAGTCAATTGTTGGTAGACAGCGGAGTCCTCTAGGTGTTGAGGCCTCTCCCACAATTCTGGTCTACAGGGTGTACAAACCCTTTTATCAAGGAGTGACCGTGGACTTAGACTTCTGGTGATAACAGGCAGCACTGGAGGGAGCTTGCAGCAGTGTTATCTTCTGAAAAAGGAAGTGTTTCAGGTCGACCATGATTTGGACCCAATCCCGAGTTCTCATTTGACCAAATGGGTGAACCAATTGGCCAGTTGAGTCACCTAACGAATTTCTGACTACCGGCACCAAACATAATTTATATAATTGGCAGTATCACTACCACTTCTAAAATTACATGTTAACACTTGTTAGTTGCTAGTACCCTGGTGGCCACGTATCTCCTAGCAACCAATGATGCCATGCAGCCGCCTGCATCCTAGCAACCAGTGACGCCTGGTGGCCACGTATCTCCTAGCAACCAATGATGCCATGCAGCCGCCTGCATCCTAGCAACCAGTGACGCCTGGTGGCCACGTACATCTCCTAGCAACCAATGATGCCATGCGGCCGCCTGCATCCTAGCAACCAGTGACACATGGTGGCCATGTATCTCCTAGCAACCAATGATGCCATGCAGCCGCCTGCATCCTAGCAACCAGTGACGCCTGGTGGCCACGTATCTCCTAGCAACCAATAATGCCATGCAGCCGCCTGCATCCTAGCAACCAGTGATGCCTGGTGGCCACGTATCTCCTAGCAACCAATAATGCCATGCAGCCGCCTGCATCCTAGCAACCAGTGATGCCACATGCATCCTAGCTACCACTAATGCTGTGCAGACCCTCCAGCATCACTGCTTCGTAGGACACAGGTGGCCACACAGTACCACTGGTTGCTAGCACACAGGTGGCAACACAGTACCACTGGTTGCTAGGATACAGGCAGCTGCCTTCTCCCTAGCAACAAGTGATGTAGTAAGGCCAGCTGCTTGCAAATTGGCTTTGAAAAAGCTCCCAGACTTTAATGGGGTTTGCAGATTTTAAGATGTGAAAATGTATATTCCTTCGAACTGAACACAGGCCAGGTCACTGATCATTACTCCTTACTTCTCGTCCAAGTTCATAAAGTTTTATGGTAACATTTAGCTATAGTTCTGCTGGAAGAAGAAGAGGAACCAACCTAAGAAAGGCTCAATCTGTGTCATCATACCTGTGTTACTGGAACTAGGAGTGACACCCAACCTAGAAGAATGGACTATGGCTCACCTGTGCTGATCTCTGTAGGGGAGGACTTCATCACGGGGTCCTTGTGTCCTCCAGAAAGCTCCCCCATCATTCCATACTCCTCATCATCCTCTGTAAACTCTTCTTTAACAACAATATTATAATCCCCGAGGTTTCCACTCTGAATAGATAATAAAACATTCATTGTAGCAAAAAGCATGTGCATAAATCATATTACTTGTCAATCATCTACCTGATGATGGTGAGGGATGGTGTGATCTTCTTGTGTGGAATACGGAGGACGGGGACATCTCTCTGGAGGGTTTCTCTTACTGGAGCCATCTGGTGGGTTCCTGTAGCTGGATGACTGCACCATGTTGTCCTGGTACAGACATTTGTGTCCCTTTGAAGACTCTGACTCCTTCATCGCCCCATCCTCATCCTCTGTTATCTCTTCTTTAACATCAGCTTTGGAATCTCTCAGGTTTCCACTCTGAATATATAATAAAAATGACATCAATGGTAACAATGCACAGATCCCGACACACACAATGATACAGTCACCATCCAGACACATCCCTTGTCTGTTACTGGAGAATGTCCCAGAATTCCTGGCACCGCTCACCTCTCCTGTCAGCAGCTCCATCATCTTCTTGGTGACTTCTAGAATCTTCTCCATGTTGTGTCTCTCAGGGTTTAGGGAGTCACATGGAGGCACTGTGATGGTCATATGATCACCTGACTTCAGAAGAGGAAATCTCTGTATTGGGGAACCAATAGGAACATCATGTTAGACTCCCAGAATCCTCCTCACCTCTCCGGTCAGGTCTGTATTTTATTAATAGAGATGAGAGTGATGTCATGTGACCTCCCAGAATCCTCCTCACCTCTCCGGTCAGGTCTGTATTTTATTAATAGAGATGAGAATGATGTCATGTGACCTCCCAGAATCCTCCTCACCTCTCCGGTCAGGTCTGTGTTTTATTAACAGGAGATGAGAATGATGTCATGTGACCTCCCAGAATCCTCCTCACCTCTCCGGTCAGGTCTGTGGTTTATTGATAGAGATGAGAGTGATATCATGTGAGCTCCCAGAATCCTCCTCACCTTTCCGGTCAGCAGGTAGATGATCTCCAGGGTGAGGTTTAGTATCCTCTCAGTCATGTGACTCCGGTCCTCCTCCATCTTCATTGGTCATGTGATCTATACAGGTTTCCTGTAGACCAATAATTGATAACAGAGAATGATCCGGACTGTACTGGTTGTACAATATTAGGATGGGGGGGGGGGGGGGGGGGGGTAATATGAGGGACATCCAGTTTAGGGTTTCCTATGTTTTTCCCTGTACTGATCAGCGGGAGGAACCACAAAGCTTTGCAGAGGACCAGATCTACAATCCCCAGTCATGTTGGTTTCTGAAAAACTTCAGCAGGCACTGGAGCTCTATTTTGGGAGGTGTAGCCCTCTTTTGAGAAGGGGGGGGGTTAAGAGAAATGGCCCTCCCCAAACAGGTTATTGAGCTAGACCTGTAGGTAAATGAGAGAACATTACCTGACAAAGTTCGCAGGGCCACCACCCGCAGGGCCTTCTCTCAGGACAGGGTCTCCACCCACCCCAGGACAGGGCCTCCACCCAGGACCTTCTCCCAGGACAGGGTCTCCACCCAGGACAGGGCCTCCACCCAGGACAGGGCCTCCACCCAGGACAGGGCCTCCACCCAGGACAGGGCCTCCACCCAGGACAGGGCCTCCACCCAGGACAGGGCCTCCACCCAGGACAGGGCCTCCACCCAGGACAGGGCCTCCACCCAGGACAGGGTCTCCACCCAGGACAGGGTCTCCACCCAGGACAGGGTCTCCACCCATAAATAAACAGAGGGGTTTCCCTTCATGGCACGTTAACTAGTGATCTAATCAAAGTAATTGGAAGCAGAAGAACTACTACACCCAACAGTTAACATTAACCTTCATTATATAGAGGCACAGCAGTATAGGAATAGAACAAGCTTTATACAGAAAAAAAAAAAATAGATTAATAAAAGAACATACATCCAATGCGCAGACAGGTATTATCCGCAAAGGGCCCGATAGGAGTGCTGGTGGAATTGTGCACATATACCTGGGTATATATAATTATTAATAGAGAACCCTCTAGATGAATGT